ACCATTTCTGTGTAATGAAACTCCATAGAAACCCAACAGGATGGGGTTTGGAGATCTTCCAGAATTGTGAAAAATGGAGATTCGGGGAGAGGGACACCCAGAGAGGGCATGGCAGCTCCACACGTCTCCACATTCATTGCCTTATGCACCTGACAAACTCTGACACGTGCTGTAATGATGGACCTGAAACCCATTATGCTAATTGCAATAAGCCAGCCATGAAAGAACAAATAGTATATGATACCTCTTATATGAGGTAGAGTCAAAGCCATACAGACAGAAAGCAGAACAGTGGTTGCCAGGAGCTAGGAGGAGGGGGTGGTGAGTTAGTGTCTGCTGAGTAGAGTTTCAGTTGGGAAGACGAAAAGTTCTGGTGACAGGTGGTGGTCGCAGCTGCAAAACAGTATAAATACACCTGGTGCCACAGAAGAACAGTTAAAAATGGGAAATTTTATATTATGTATATTTTACCATAACAAATAAATATCTGTATATCTATTTTATATATGTACTAACAGATTCACTAATGAATTTTCCATTTGGTATTCTTGTCCACTAATAAATTCTCTAGATTAAAATAAAAAATGAAGGCTGTGTCTCCAGATCTACTCAACCAAATCAGATGGCTTCTAGGATGCTTCAGGGTGTGGGTCTCTCCACAGTCTCTGCAGAACCAAGAATAGAGGAGAGATTATCTCAAAACGCCCACATTTGGTCTACTGCAGGGATACTACGGAAATCCAGGGAAGGCCCACAAAGTTCTTGAAAAGATAATTCCATCAGATACAGTGTCAGCACACACTTAGAGGTCAGGAAAAACACAAAGGAAAGAAGATCATAAAAGATATGATACATGCCTTCCATCAGGAAGCTACAAAAATTGTGATGATTTGTGTACCTAAAAAGCCCTAACTACATGACAGACAGACAGACAGACATGAATGACAAAATGAAAATCTGACAGAATTCAAGGGAGGAACAGACAATTCAACAGTAAGAGTTGGAATTAGCAACATTCAAATTTCATAATCGATGTAACAGACATCTGCAGAACACACCACCCATCACAACAGATGTACATTCCTTTCAAGGGCACAAGGAACTTTCTCCAGGATAGACCATATTCTAGTCCATATAACAAACCTTAACAAATCGAAAGGTTTAAAATCATACTATTTTTTACCTCTGGATACAGTAAAATGATATTGAATTTCAATAACAAAGAGAAATTTGGGAAACACAGATAAATGGAGATTTTAAGTAACCAATCGACCACAGAATAAACCAAAAGGGAAGCTCAAAAATACTTTGAAAGTGGAGACACAGCCAAGCAGAGCCCTGGGGCACATGAAGCAGAGGTTGGAGGGACGCTTATAGCTGCAAATGCTGCTACCATGGAAGAAGAAAAAGTCAAATCACTAATGTAAACTTCCAACTTAAGACATGGGGAGAAAAAGAGCAAACTAAATCTAAAGCAAGCAGGTGGAATGAAATAATTTCAGTTAGAGCTCCAATTAGCAAAACAGAAAGGAGAAAAACAATAGAGAATTCCAGTGAGACTAAAAGTTGATTTGGTGAAAAGACTGACAAAACTGGCACACTTTGGCTAAGGAGCCGAGAGAGAGAGCACAGAAATGAAAAGGGATGTCACCCACCAACCTCACACAAATGAAGGGGTGACAAAGGGACACTATGAACACCACACCAATAAGGGGACAACTTTCAGGATGTGGACAAATTCCTAGCAAGACACAAGACACCAAAGCTAGTCAAGAAGAAAGAACACTCAGTATAGACCCTATAACAAGTAAAGAAATTTAGTTACTAATTTAAAAAACTACTCACAAAGAAAATTCAGGCCAGGATGTCTTCACCGGTAAATTCTAGCAAACATTTAAAGAACTAACACAAATTCATCACCAGAACTCTGGAAAACAGAAGAGGAAGGAAAGCTTCCCACTCATGCTATCAGATGAGCAATAACAGACAAACATCACAGAAAAGAAAACTACAGACCAATGTTTGGTACAAATACAGACTCAAAAGTCCTCAACAAAATACTAGCAAATAAAAAATCCAGCAATGTATGGAAATAATTATATCCCATGACCAAGTGGTATTTATCCCCATTGGTCAATGAAATGCTGTTTTAACATCTAAAAATCAGTTAATGTAACATATTACACCAATAAATAAAGGACAAAAAAATACATGACCATCTCAATAGATGCAGAAGAAGCATTTGACAAAATCCAACACCCTTTCAGGATAAAAACTCTCATCAAACCAGGAATCAATAGGAACTCTCTTCACTTCATAAAATCTATCTTTGAAAACACATAGTTCACATTACAGTTCACATTGTTCTTACAATTCCATCATTAAAGACTCTTACAACACCAGAAATAACATTTGCCTGATTTTTAAAATGGGCAGTGGGTCTGAATAGACATTTCTCCAAAGAAGATATACAAATACCATTAAGTTCATGAAAAGATGCTCAACACCATCACACCACCAACCTCACACAAATGAAGGGGTGACAAAGGGACACTATGAACACCACACCAATAAGGGGACAACTTTCAGGATGTGGACAAATTCCTAGCAAGACACAAGACACCAAAGCTAGTCAAGAAGAAAGAACACTCAGTATAGACCCTATAACAAGTAAAGAAATTTAGTTACTAATTTAAAAAACTACTCACAAAGAAAATTCAGGCCAGGATGTCTTCACCGGTAAATTCTAGCAAACATTTAAAGAACTAACACAAATTCATCACCAGAACTCTGGAAAACAGAAGAGGAAGGAAAGCTTCCCACTCATGCTATCAGATGAGCAATAACAGACAAACATCACAGAAAAGAAAACTACAGACCAATGTTTGGTACAAATACAGACTCAAAAGTCCTCAACAAAATACTAGCAAATAAAAAATCCAGCAATGTATGGAAATAATTATATCCCATGACCAAGTGGTATTTATCCCCATTGGTCAATGAAATGCTGTTTTAACATCTAAAAATCAGTTAATGTAACATATTACACCAATAAATAAAGGACAAAAAAATACATGACCATCTCAATAGATGCAGAAGAAGCATTTGACAAAATCCAACACCCTTTCAGGATAAAAACTCTCATCAAACCAGGAATCAATAGGAACTCTCTTCACTTCATAAAATCTATCTTTGAAAACACATAGTTCACATTACAGTTCACATTGTTCTTACAATTCCATCATTAAAGACTCTTACAACACCAGAAATAACATTTGCCTGATTTTTAAAATGGGCAGTGGGTCTGAATAGACATTTCTCCAAAGAAGATATACAAATACCATTAAGTTCATGAAAAGATGCTCAACACCATCACGCATCAGGAAGATGCAAATCAAAACAACGACAAGCTACTGCTCCACGCCAGAGCTGCCCGTAATCAAAACCTCAGATAACAGCAGGCATGGGGGAACCTGAGAAAAACTGCTGGTGGGGAAGTAAAATGGGGCAGCCGCTCTGGAACACAGTCTGAAGGCCCTGAAATGGTTAAACACGTAATCCAAGTCCACTCGTACACACACACCCAGGACATATACCCATATGTATACATATATACATACGTCCACAAAAAGCTCATACACAAATGTTCACAGCCATCCATCCATAGCAGCCAGCAACTGGAAACAACCCCAATAACCATCAACTAATAATCAACACACAAAATGTGGACTGCCCATACAATGGCATATTGTCTGGCAATCAAAATAGATAGTTGCTGACAGGCTGCGGCATGGATGACCGTTGAAAACATCATGCCAAGTGAGAGAAGCCAGTGACAAAGGGCCACATATTGCATGAGTCTGTTCATAGGAAATGTCCAGCATAGGCAAATCCATAGAGACAGACAGAAGATCATGGATTACCAAGGGCTGGAAGACACGGGGGTTATCAGAGGCGACAGCTAAGTCCATGCAGGGTTTCCTTTTGGGATAACGAAAATTGTTCTAAAACTGAATCAGGATGGCTACACAACTCTGGAATAAACTCAAAAGTCATCCAATCATACACTTGAAATGGGCAGAATGTGGCATATGAATTAGAACTCAATACAACTATTAAAATAAGATATGCCCAGCATAATTAATCTTTAGGGAAAAGCAAATTAAAACCACAATGAGAAATCACTACACACCAAGTACAATGCCTAAAAAATAGATATTTTTTAAACTGGATGATACCAGAGCTAGAGAGGAAGTGGGGCAATTGGAGCTTTCACACACTGGTGGTGAGCATGCAGTTCGGTAAACATCTGATATAAACATTGCCAGGTACATAACTTTAGCTATTCATTTACAGGTCTGTGTTCCCAGCGGGCTGACTATGCAGGAAGGCTCTGTCTGTCCCCATGCAAACCTCTGGAGCCCAGCTCAGCACTCCATGGTGAGGTGCAGCTCAAAAGTGGGAACTGGGTTGATCAGAGCTACACTTGCACACCTGGGAACCAAATCTGGCTTCTGTTGATCATTGGTGCCGATGCACAGAGCTCTGCATGGGAAACCTAGGACCATTGCATGGTTCCAAATGGATAGAGGCTCCAAGATGGCAAGGCTCACATCTGGATTTTTCTCCACGTCAACCTATTTCCAGCAAAGTGTCTGCAGGTAACAGACACTCCACAGATATAGGCTGGGTTGGCATGTTTGTGATAAAGGAAAAACAAAATGAACTGTTTTAAGTACTCTAATTTTATGTACTAAGAAATTGCTTGTGTAGTAATTTAAGTCCCGAGGAAAAAATGAAGCTGTCCCATTTATAATACATGGTTGTTTTATTCCAGTCACGCTGACGCACTAAGCTTCCATCACTGAATCGCATCTTGTCTATTCAGCCACTCCCCTCCTGTCTTCCGTATCTTTCTGTTCAACTTTTAAAATGAGGGAACCTGAATGAAGGATGGTGACATGACCTGCCTGCAGGAAGCAGAGCTGCTCTGTACTCACAACAGTCAGGAGCACACTCCGGCGGCCTCTGGCACTGAGGCTCCAGCTTCATCCCTGGGCCGACATCAGATCGCTTTTTGGAATCTTGCAAAAGCATCAGAAACACCTTTATGAAAATGAAAAAAGCTTATTAGCATATCTCCTTTCCCCATTGTGGTTCTTTCCTTTGCCTCAGTTACCCAACCTGTCATTACCCTCCACATGCCCCCTATTTCTTCTTTCAGTTAATGGGTGCCACTCTAAGGCCACCTAGTTCTGGCAAGCTGGGTGTAAGGTTGCTTGTCTCACTGAAACCTGAGGGTGCCTGCGGTGGCAGAGACAGGAGCTGCCAATAGGACGGCATCTCCTTCTCAGTGGGGAATGCAGCTCACTGTGCCAGCATCTCCAAAATCCAGAAGTCACTCAGTCAATGAACTCATGACGCTGAACCTTCGGCAGCAGGGGGGAACATCACATGGAAAACCCCCATGGAACCTGGCTCCTCCAAGGGCTGCAGGGCACCATGTTCCCTAGAGCAGTTTGTGTAAGTGACTGGCCTGAAGCCACTAAGCACTTACTTAATGCTGGAAGGCTGGAGAGCTGGAGAGAGCATCCCTAACAGACCCCAGGGTGCAGGCCCCCTGCAGTGGCAGTCCCAGAGGAAAAGGGTGGCTGCTGGCTCCCTCTGGGCAGGTGGGGCCTGCTCAGTGTCCACGTGCCCAGAATTCAGCACCCCCCTGGAGGGTGGGCTGCCTCATCTGTAGACCAGGGACGATAGTAACAGCAGCTAATGTCCCATGGATGATGGCTGAGTGCTGAGCACAGACTCGGCAAGAATGCAGTGCTGTTAGCAACATTGGCACCATGTCCCTGGTGAGCCACATGCCACGCCAGGCCCTGCATGCTGCCACCCTCACCTTGGCAGCATCATTAAGTGTTTCTGTCACTCCCTCTTCTTCTGCAGACATGAACATCAGGGGCCTGGCCCTGGCCTCACTGCAGCCTCCCTTGCTGGGCAGTTCCAGCTAGAACCTCACACACCCAATGTCAGAACTGAGTACCCACGCTGGCAGCCTCCTGGGACTAGTGATTCCTATAAATGGTGCACACTATTCTGTCTCTGCTTATTTGAGGAAATAAGCACAAAGGTGTTGACTGTGTCTGGGTGTCTTAAGGAGCCTCTGGCTCTCAGGGGAAGAGGGAAGAGGGCACTCGCAAGGAGAAACAGCGAGCAAGGGTGTAGGCAGGGCAGGCGCACATCTCTCTGTATGGGACCCATCGGTTTGAGACAGAATCCTGTGGAGAGAAATCTGAGTCCCTGGTGCCAGTGGAGCGCCACAAGGTTTCATTAGCTCTGATGTGGTTCCTGTAAGATAACCCCTTGCTAAGTCCCAGTAAGAGCACAAGGAAAGCTGCCAACTCAGGACTACCGCACGGGGTAACACAATCACAACGATGGTGAATCACACCGGGTCAGTGTGCCACCCTGGGAAAACCATTCACCACTCCAGCCTCCTGTGAAAAATGGTAAACAAAATCATTGCAGAGTGGTGACTTCATCTACGTGCAAAGCAGGGAGGAGCCCAATGCCTGCCAGGCGGGAAGCTGGCACAGTCAGGTCCAGAGAGGAGGCAGAGAAGGAGGAGGTGCCCACGAGGCCATACACTTAACCCTCAAGTCAGCCCAATGAGATCAGTACTGCTGCTCCCTCCAGAGGAGGGCACAGGGCCTGGTGGGCTGAGCATTCTTCACCTGGTGCATGCATAAGGATGAAATTAAAGACGATAAAAACAGTGGGAGTCAAGAGTTATTCACTGAGCAGGCACTTTCCTTTGTACCTTAGTCTAAAAGGAATTTTCATCTAATGTTCAAACGTAATTGTGAATTATTTAAAGCGTATCTTGATACCAAAAGAAACATTCTGGATAATCACGCTCCTGCATTTGTTTTAAATTGCCCTTCCTGCCCTCCTTTCCTAATGAGACCGTGCAGGTGTGTGCGAGTGTGCACACATTTGGGCACACAGACATGTTGGAGGAGGAAACAGAATGCAGGCGGTGGTTTTGCTCCCCACAATCCCACAGGTGCCTGGGGGTCATGACGGATGACAACACAAAACCACGTATCAGGGCGCAGCGCGGCAATTCGCAACCTGCTCACCGGGAAGGTGAAGGCGCGGCTAGGGCAGAGGGAGTGTGTGAGCGCCATCTAGTGATCGTCCGCTTAACTGCAGGCCTGCCACCCCAGGAGGCTCTGACATCGCAGCCCCAGGAGCAGAAAGGGCCAGTCAAGGCACATCTCCCAGAGCAGTACAACCGCAACTGCTGTGCTCAAGGTTTGGGCTCCTGATGGCGCATCTCACCCTTGTTACTCTGGGAATTCTGTAATTGCCATGCTCAATGGAAGCACACTGCACCCTCCAAAGTTCCACTCTTCAAGGGTCTCATGGAACCAGAGCACCCAGAATGAAATGCTACCCATGGCTTTAAGGAACGGAAATGCACAGGAAGGTTACTGGAATCTATCACCCTTCTGCTTAGTCTGGGAAATGGAAGTTCCAAAGTATAGGTTTAATTTACTCCTTATCAGCTGATACAACTTTAAATCAGTATTTGTATGTGAAGGCCACATCTTCACAAATTTTTTTAGATCACTCACGCAAGGAAATATATGCTTCATTTCATCAGGATAATGATGAAGAAATGCAAAAACTGCAAAACATTCTTGTTATAGAGAAGATTAGGAAAGGTCACTGAACACATACAAATATCCACTCAGAAAAGAGAGAAAACAGAAGCCAACAAAATAATTTCCAACAAAATTACTGTGTGCACACCCCCAAGTTTAAGGGGTCGCTTTGGGTGGTGTTTGGACATAGGTATGAAATGAACCCACATACCTTCCTATTCCTTTGGAGTTTTCTCTGCATTTCCAACTGAATAAAGCCCAGAAGCCAATTCATATGGATCAAATAGGACCCACACCTGGCCTCTTTTATATAAAGTACTAGGAAGTTATTTTAAATATTATCTAATGTTTTGAACTTTCTGGATTAGCTCAGGACTCCCAAGTCGAAAGACACTCAAGTCAAATGACGATTAGTCAAAACTACTCTTATTAATTTTTAAATAATTTAACTATATGAAACAAATAAGAAATGAGATTAAAACTCAAAAACAAAAGATCTCATACAATCCAACTTGAAAAATGGACAGAGAAACTGAATAGACATTTTTCCAATGAAGACATAAATGGCCAACAGGTACATGTAAAGATGCTCAGCATCACTCATCATCAGGAAAACACAACTCAAAACCACAATGAGATATCATCTCACTCCACTCAGAAGGACTGCTGTCAAAAAGACAGGAAACAAGTGTTGATGAAGGTGTGGAGAAAAGGGACTCCTCATGCACTGTTGGTGGGAATGTAAATTGGTGCAGCAGAACAGTATAGAGGTTCCCCAAAAAGCTAAAACAGAAACACCATATGACCCAGCAATTCCACTTCTGGGAATCTATCCAGAGGAAGTGAAAATGCTATATTGCAGAGAAATCTGTATCCTCGTGTTCATCACATCATTATTTATAAAACCCATCATGGAAACAACAACCTAACTGTCCATTGTGGAAGAATGGATAAAGAAAATATGATATGCATAAGTATGTACACACACATACACATACAGTGGAATAATACTTTTCAGCCATAAAAGATGGAAATTTTGCTATTTGCAACAACATGGATGGATCTCAAGGGCACTATGCTAAGTGAAGTAAGTCAGAGAAAATCAAATACTGTTCAATCTCATTTACATGTGGAATCTAAAAAACATTAACTTGTAGAAACAGAGAACAGATTAGTGGTTGCCAAAGGTGGGGGGTAGGTTAAGAGAAATGGGTGAAGGTGGTCAAAAAGGTACAAACTTTCAGTTATTAGGTAAGTTCTGGGGATGTGATATACAGCATGGTGACTAATGTTAATATTCTGTTGTATATTGGAAAGTTGCTAAGTGAGTCAATTTTAAAAGTGCTCATCACAAGAAAAAAAGTTATAACTATGTGAGGTGGTGGATGCCAACTGAATTTATAATGGTGATCATTTCACAATATATGCTTATATCAAATCATTATATACACCTTAATAATATAATGTTATAGGCCGACAATATTGAAAAAAATAAGAAAGAAATCGAATCTCAAAGACACTAACTAGTGTGGAAGTAATTCACAATTTAACAAAAATATGGATCTAAGTGTGAAGCCTATGGCACTTCTGCTCTTTGTTTTCCAGGAAGAACAAGGTCAACAGTTTGGGGATTCTTCATTTGTGGATACGTGTTTTCTTAATTTAGAAGAGCTGTAGACTCTGAGCATTTATGACAACCCGGTGTCACCTCAATACTGATGGTGCCATCAATCCTGCAGACTGCAACGTTGTGCCCACCCCATCGGCAAGTAGAGCTAGACCCCAAACTCGACCTGCACTAAAAGTGTCAGCTTGATAGACTACACATTGGAGTTGGTCCGTGTGACGTGCCTCGGGCTCAGTTGCTAGAGAAATGGAGTGAAGCAACCAAACTCTGGAAGCCAGTGATGATATCATTCCACCAAGGGATGCCATGAGCAGAAACTTTAGCAAAAAAAAAATGTAGGCAATATTTTCTCAGTTTTCTAAAACTGCATTTGTTTTTTAAGAAGCAGGAGATAAAAACCATGTGGAAAGCTTAGATGGTAAGGACTGTGAAAGTTACTGACCAATCCTCCCCAGATACAGGGCTCGGCAGATATGCCCAGATGTGCCACAGTGCGGGCAGCCAGAGTTTATTATCTGACAGGAATTTGTATTTGAGTTCCAGCTGCTGTTGTAACAGATTACCACAAACTTGGGGGCTTAAAACAATACAAATTTACCAGCTTCTAAATCTGGAAGTCAAAGGCAAAAACAGGCCTTCTGGACTGAAACCAGGGTGTTGGAGGACTGTGCCCCTGTGGAGGCTCCAAGGGCGAACATACCCCTGGCCTTTTTCTAGTGGAGCCTCTATTCCTTGGCTCATAGCCCCTTCCTCCATCTTAAAAAGTCATCCTGCCAATCTCTGCTTCCATCAAGACATCACCTCCCCATCTCACCTACCTAAGTCCTCTTACTTTTGATCCCCCAGGACCACCCAGATAATCCAGGATAACCTGTCACTAGACCCATGCAAGAAACATAAGTTCCCAGGATTTGGCACGGCTGTCTTTGGGGGCCCACTATTCAGCCACCACAGGACAATGACACCATCAGTACATCTTTGCAACAAGGGCTGTTGATGTGATGTGTCCCTGCTCACTGCAAAGGCAGGGAGATTGGAAGGTGAAGTAGGAAGTTTTGGAGTTTGTCACCATTAAATTCAAATGCCTGACTTTGGGCAGCTCATTTCCTTTGTCAAGTTTAGTCTCTCAACTCCTTACTGCACAAAGTGCAAAGAGAGGGGGAACAAGCAACCTGGGGTGCTTGGGTGAGCTTTGGAGGTCTATGTGGGGGGGACTCCTGTTGCCTAACACAGAGAGAGAAAGAGCCACCAAAGGCCTGGGGAGCAACAGCCCTATGGCTGCATGCAACTGGCAGCAGCGGCTCCCTGCAGGGACGGCTGATTCTAGATCCTGGACCAGGAATGTCCTGCCATGATAAGCTGGGAGCATCTTGTATCAGCAAGAAGATACTTGGAGATGAGGGGATGTAGTAGAAGACACAAAGCGAGCTTCCAGGAGTGCCTCTGGCTAAGCCTGACATGATTTCAGTTCACAGCAAATGGGATCACAGTGAACTGTAGCTCACTGAATAACCGAGGAGGCCATGAGCCCCAACTGATACAAATGAGTAAACAGCATGGAGAGAAAGGGCTTCCTTTGGGTTTAATGCCAAATTAGAGGCAGAATGAATGGTGGAAAATGGTAGAAAAATCACCACTTGGAAAATGTTGTAATCATAATTATCTGGGCAAGGAATGTGGGATGGGCTGGCACTCATGGGGGAAAGTGGG